ATCCAAATAATTAGCTCCGTGATAAATTGTTTAATAAATAATCAATTTTAATCAATAAATTAAAATACTTCCATAATTTAATATTCCATGTTAATGTATATTTTATAATATATAAAATATTTCGGCAACGAATTATCGATAACACGGCGTTTGACTTCGTTGGTAATATAAAATATAAACATAGCATGCTATACATTACCGCTCTTTATCATCATTCGCACGGTGACTCTTAAATAATAAAGTAGTGAGAAACGCTTTGAATATTATAATTTTCTTACTAAACACGATTACGATTAATATCGAAACATAATTTGCTTTAAATATTAATAAAAATTAATTAATTGAAAATTAATTAACGACATGAAACTGTATCGCAACGATAAAACTATTGAATCGCAAATATTTATTACCGCAATTAAAAATTGGAACAGGAGATACAAAAAGCCATAAGAAAAGATTTGCAAATGATTCGAATAATGAGAACTATATTGGCAAACATTATAGACATCAAATTGTCTGTCGAAATATCTTCGTATTGACTTATACAACGAACATTTGTTTATCCTTTCACGTCTTTGAATATTGTTTTTAGTAGTCCATGAGCATCCACTAGCACCAAAAGGTGCTAGTAGTGCGAATATTTTTTGCTACTATTTACAAGACGATTGACAATTTTATTAATGAATGTTTTAATCGCGATTATTTACAAATTGTGTGATAATTTGAGTGATAATAACATATCGCGAACGCGTCTTGATGATTTCGATTATCATATTATAAAAATTTTCCATTTTATCTTATTTAACTAATCATATGCGAGATAGGATATGTATCTTATTTGACGGCATTCATATAAAATTGCATGTTAATCGCAAATAAATCGAAATTTTAAAGGAGTGAATTTTAAATTCCCAAATATTACAGACCTCGAATGAATGTTGAAATATATCTTCGCATCTTATATGTGACAGCGTAATTATATTGCGCGCGTATCTATTGAGGACTTCGCGATTATTATATTATAAAAATTATCGTATCAAATATTTCGTGTATTTTCAATTTATTTATTCGTCGCGTTTTCTCGCGAATTTTAAATCGCGATTTATCTAACTTAATCGCTGACTTGCTTTATCTACTTTCCATGTCTTTGAATATATATTGTCTTTTATTGTATAATCTGAGCTAATAGTGCAAATATTTTTTTCTACTATTTAAATACACGATAATTTTATTGATGATTAATCGTGACTGTTTAAATCATTATATAAATTTTATTAAACTCTACTAATACATACATACTAATACAAAGATACAGTTAGAGATATAGTTGGATAGTTAAATTATTAGAGAGGGATTTTGATAAAATCGTTCCGTTATTCTCTATTAAGCGTGGCGAACAATGCGATTTTAAATTATATGTTAATTATATTTAAAATTCTAAAGTCTTAAGATTCATTTTATTTCATTTAACTAATCATGCGCGAGATGCAATATGTATTTTCAATATATATTTTTTCAATCGCGACATTTATATAAAATAGCATATTAATCGCAAATAAATCGCAAATAAATTCGCAAATATTGCAGACTTTAAATGTCTGTTGAAATGTCTTCGCACTTGTGTGTGATAGTAACTATATCGCGCGTGTCTATTAGGGCTCCGATTATATATTATAAAAATTATATATACCGCAATCGAATATTCCGAATATTGTCGCTTTATTTATTTATCGCGTCTTCTTGCGAAATATAAATCGCGATTTATTTTCTAAAAATTCACAAATAAATCAGACAATAAATTCTACATTCGCAAATATTATAGATCTCAAATATCTCGAAATGTCTTCGTATTTGTTTGATAATAATTATGTCGGGCGCTGTCTATTAGCGGTTTCGATTATCATATTACAAAGATTATGCATATCGTAATCAACTATTCCTAATAATCGATTTATTTATTCGTTATCGCTCTCTCGCGAATTTTAAATTGTTATTTATCTTGTACTTTAATCATTGATTTACATCGAAGCTTGATTTATCTTTTCGCGTTTTGAATATTAATAATCTACATAAAATGCGCCAGTAATGCAAATACTTTCTTCTACAATCGGAAAACCTATCAATAATTTTATTAATGACCCCTTTGATCACGATTATTTATGTTTAAGCGTTATTTATATAAAACTAATTTCTATTCTTCTTAAATTCTTAAATTCTATTATTGTATGTCGATTATTAATTGGAAACTTTATCATATAATTTAAATAATAACTGAAACCTTTAACATATAATTTTGTAAAAATTGTACTTTAATTATTATAAAATGTAAAAATCAATATCTTTTTAAATTAGATTAAAATTTTTAGAAAATCAGATAATAAACGCATGTAATTTTAAAGTAATTTTATATCATAGTACGTATATCGAATATTAGTGGGATTTACACGATCTACATTTGCGATATACTGAGTACATACTCAGGATCTACCTGTGCTGTATGGGTAATTGGTAAGAAATCAATCAGTGTAATACACATTTACACACATATTCATCCGTCATCCATTATTGATTTTTTTTCACGTCAAATGATATTGATTTTAACTGCACAGCTGATTTTATTTTGTCGTTTTTTATATGATGCATATTTATTATGTCGTACATACATCGTCGTACATTATATGATACATGATAATTAATATAATATAATATATTATATAATATATTAACAAATTATAATATAATAGAAAACATTTAATTATTTTTTAAATAACAATTTAAATAATTGTTTAATTATTATATTTAAATAGAGTTATATATGTTTTTATACATGTTTTCATATCTAAAAAATAAGATACATTTTTTTAAAGAAATAATTATAGAAAATAATCTATATTATTATTATAAAATAAAAAAATAAAACCAGTTGTGCAGTAAAAATCAATATTACTTGAAGTGAAAAAATCAATAACAGATGATGGATTATTATGTATAAACAATCTTGATAATAAATTAATCTAAAATTGGGTCCTTTTGATAACAATCATATGAGTAAAAAAAGCTATAAAGACCAAACCACAAGGACTAAATCCTAGTAAAAGAATTGAAATTCTTAAAGAATATATTTCTCATTTAAAAAATTTTGCTTGTTTTACTTTGGTTGATTCTTATAGCCTTTTTCTTACTCATAAGAGCATTATGCGTGTATAAATGTTACGAACGCGAGTTTTACGCGACATCATTGACAAATTTTTATCGCTTACTCGCAAAAATTTGTGATAATCAATGAAATATTTAATATAAAAAACTAAGATATATTTAATATAAAAAAGAATCATGTGCTTCAGTGAGGATTGAAACTTTATTTCTAAAAGTATAAGGTAAATGCTTTTCTTAGTCTTAGCCTAGTTATGCAAATAGTTCTTCAATTTAATTATCGCAGGTATGTAATTAGTAAATAAGTATGAAATTTATTTATTAATAGGTATATATATTGTAAATGATATATACTTATAACTAATATATTAATCGGTATATACAGAGTGTCCGTCAATTTTCGACCATAACGAAATAAAGAAGTAGATTGGCTCAAATTAAGAAGGAACGACCTGTAAATTAAATAAAGAAGATCGGCCAATCTGCGTGAGTAGAAGCTATCGTTACAGTGAATATCGCGCGAGAGAGGCGGACAACATGCGCGGCATCGTGCACTATTTCGACCGTCCGCACGCAGACGAAAAACGGCCAATTTATACCTCGACTTCCGGACGCGATAGCGATTTCGTTCTTTTTGCATAAAATTCTACACCATTTCGCGGCACTACCGTTTAAATCTCGTCCCGATCGCCTGAGGAGCGGCTGACTTACAGTGAATATCCGAAATCTGCTTCTTGGACTCACACTTAAGTGTAATATTTGTATATATCGAATAAAAAAACGAGTCAGAATGCAATCAATCGAATAGTGAATTAAATATTTATATATACCAAACGAAAAGATGAATCAGAATGCATTCGTTCGATTAATTCGTTAAATATTTATATATATAAATTTTATTTATTTAATATTTCGTTAATTATTGCGACAATCCCAAAATAATACAGGTCATTCCTTCTTTATTTGAGTCAATCTATTTATTTATTTCGTTAAGGTCGAAAATTGACACCCTGTATATTGTAAATTATATATACTAATGATATATATACGAATGATATAAACTTATAACTAATATACTAATATTTTCTTTCCCAGGATTTGCAAAAATTTTGATTAAAAATATAGGATTGAAAATATAAAGATAAGTTTCTTACAAAGATATAAAAACTGTATACTAATTATTACATGTACATAATGTGAAACAATTAAGTATATTATACAAATATGTAACTAATAAATTAATTATACATCCAAGCCCATTTTATTATTATTAATTAAATGGAATATTTTAAATTTAATTATCTTGAATTGTGTTAATAATCTTAGATACTCAGTATACACATAACATTGAAATTAATTAATTATGTAGATATGTTAATTAATCAATTATCTGATTTTGCATATTTTATTTTTTAATAATAATTAATGATTTTTTAATAATAATTAATGATCGAATTTTAATAATTTCTTATCTTACACTATTCAAAATAATGCTGTATAATCTGTATATATGTAATCGAACCATGATACAATGATAATTTATTCCACGATATTCTATAATAATGCCAGACAATTTAAATACCTATCTGTAAAAGTAAATTATGTATTATTAAATTATATATTTCGCGAATATTATCAAATTACATAATCTTTGTTTTTTTGAAAGACTGCTTTTTAAATATTTAACGAATTGAGTGCCTCGATAAAATTAAAAGTAACATCTCATTAAATCTTTTAAAGATTTCAAATGCAATAATAATTACCTCTTTTCTTGCAATTGTTATATATCTTAATATTTACTATGTGTATTTAATATCAATATTATATACTTTAGGATTGTTCTTTTATTTATCGTGATTATTTGATAATATTGGAAGAACATCGGCAATCATGTGAATTTCCTCGAAATAAAGTTAAAGTAGAATTAACTTCTTCATTCTATATAAACAAAATATCATGTATTCAACGTATCAATTGTCGCTTTGGAGTTCGCTGGATCCTGTTGCATCTGGAGCTTTCTGTAACTGCGCGCTTTGAAATCTGTCGTAGCCGCCGTTCGATTCGCCAAAGATCTTCCGACCAGGAATCCTCTCGTCATCCTTAATACTGACTTCCGTACCGATCTGCACAGGCCAAGGTAGCTTGCCGTCGTTGTCCCTGATAGCAATGAGATTGCTCACCTTATGCTCGCTGCTCAAATTCTCCTTGGTCGGCACCCTAACCCGCCGCGAGTCGCTATCGGGATACTCGTAGGGACGATCGTAATAGCTCGATTTCTTTGCATAAGGATCATAGCCACCATATGACTGTTTATATCGATATCTGCTGGGATCGACATTACCAGGTACGCGTTTATAAACGTTATCTCGCGTGACCGGTGCCTTGTCGTATCGTGGGTAATTCCTCAAATCGACCGGCTTCCTCACGACCTCCGGCAGGGTGGCGTAGTAGATGATCCGTCTGGGCTTGGGCGTAGGTCGATTTCTGCCGTAGAGATCTAAATCGTCGTCTCTGTAACGATCGTAGTAATACTGATCGTTCGGCAAACGCGCGTAATAATCTCTCTCCATTCGGTAGCGATCAGGATAATTATAGCTGTATCCTCGACGATAAGACGGATATTCATAATCCCTCTCGCGTATCGCGTTCCTGTACCAGGACATCTGATCGTAATCGTCGTAGCTCTTAGTGAGCGGCATATCCCTGGATTCGCGGTATTCCGGGTAGCTTCGTCGATGGTACTGACCCGTTACAAAGTCCGCACGAGGTGGTTGATGCAGGCGATAGCTGTTGGACAAAGCTGCGGCCTCTTCCTCCTCCTGTTGTTGCCGGATCACCTGGTCCAACGGGATACGATGACGAAATTCAACCGAGATCGGTTGCACCGAAGTCGACCATGCTTCGGGTGAGTTCAGGCGAGTCTCGCGCACGCTCTTTGTCGTCGAGATCTTTTCCATGCTCGTCTCGTTCTCCGCTTGTCTACGAACACGTAGGATTCCTTTTGTCTCGTTCATAGATGATTCATCGTCATCGTCATTGTCATCGTTTTCTTCGTCCGCGTGCAAAATTCTCATCATAAGTCTTTTCTGTAACATTTTTCGGATGGTTATGGCATCTTCAGCATCTTCTTCGGCTTCGTCATCGTTATAAGATGAATCCTCTAAAAGTTTCCGAAAACGCTCGACGTTTTTGTTCTCAACATGAGAAGTTTTCTCAACATCCGGAAGATCATTCTGTTGTACGGAACTCGGTGTAGTCAATTCTGAATGTTTTCGAGCGTCTCGTGATTCATCGAACGGAGCCAGACGACCTACTCCGCTCACGCTGCGAACTTCGAACGCTGAAGAGTCCAATCGTGGCCAAAACGGATGATCCGGATAAACGGATCTCAAGTATGGTATCTGCCAAGCTTCACCGATGCCGGCCGCGTTGATTCCAACCAGCAGAAAGATTAATGGGCACATGGCTGACAAGCACATCGTCATAATCTGAAAATTCTAAAATTATTAATACGTACGTACATTTATATTCTGTTTATTACTAAAATTATTAAATAGGGTCTGAAAAATTTAACTGTATATACTTTAATTTTTAGTGAACATTCGTAGTTAGAAAAAAAAGAATATATTTAATTTACAATTAATTTATATTATTTTAATTTATTTCGAGATACTATATCACACAGGATAAAACTATCGGGTATTCACTTATCTAGTAAAAAATGCTAAAAATATATAAATTACAAATAAAATAAAAAATTAATAATACCGATTAACATTAAGTGAGAAAAAGTTCAATAGATAGGTACATCAAAGCGATCAAATTAGACTTTCCCGCATTCCTTTTCTACGTGCGAAGCCAGCATCGGTCTGATTGTTCGCTCCCACTTTGAACGTAACCGTGAATATCACCGGCACTTTCCATCGAAACGCGTGGCTTTAAAAAAAAAACCGGCGATACACATTCAATGACCGTTCCGTCCGGTCGCTGCGCGGTCAGAGATCGCATCGAATCGTCCTCCAATGTAGACACGGCCGATTCTCCATGACAAATATAATTTCCCGGGCCGTTTCCGCGGTATTATGTCCGAGTTCCGGTCGACTCGCACCGAGATCCATCCGGATGATTGTTCGCCCGAGCATGTTTACCATAGCCCGAAATCACGTCTGATTCCCGTCGACAAAAGTTCAATGTTTCACGCGAATTTGAAATTATCAAAATGTTCACATATGAAGAATTAAATATAATTATCCTTTTAAAATACATTTCACATTTATATCATATTTTTCTTGACAACTTTTGCTTTCTTTTTAAGGAATTTTTATTTGTTTTTTCCTTTCTTTGTAAATTCTTCGTATTTATATTAGAGGAGAAATTCTACTTCTTCCCAATAAATAATCTTAAAGATATTAATGCAAAGATAGGAAAAAATAACATGCTTCGTTATCGATGCAAGATTGTTGTGAATAAAGAGTACTGTTTTGCAGGAACAAGATCTTATTGGCGAACGTTGAGAGCTTCCGGTTACGCGTTGAGTCATTCTACCACAGTTATAAGCAACGTTCTCGGTTATTGTGAGCATCGCTAACAAACGACTGTCGAGCAAAAGGTCGGTATCTCTGGCGATGTAGCGGAACAAATCTTCAGCAGGACGACGATCTTACGCCCCGTTATCAAGGCGTCGCACAGTTATCCGCGCTTTACAGTTAGACGCCAACGAGACCGTTTCACTCTTAATTAAAAATCTTTTTAATTAGTCACGCGACGAAACTGGAAGTACTGGTAATGTTTACCGCGTCGAAAATTGGAACATAAAGACGAGTAGCAGCAACATTATTTTTTTTTAACAATTAATATATTCAAATAAAAAAAAGAGGAGATTTTAAATATCCTAACAAAAAATAAATTTGGAATTCTCTATTTTGATATACATAACGCACACATCAATTACGCATTACATATATTATATGCATGTATATTTTAGTTTTAAAATTTAATTATGTATATTATAGTATTTTTTAAAATTTAATACAATTTCAAAAAGCTATGCAAATAAAAAAAGATTATATTAAGATATTAATAATTTAAATTTAAACGTTTATACCATAAAAATTATACAATTAATGACTCACCGAAATTGTAAATTTATCTATGATTTAAATTCACTTTACAGTCTGTAATTTCGATAATTAAATGTTCATTATTACATTATTGTATTACTGATAAATATCAAAAGAAATGTAGACACTAGTAATTAGTTACTAAATTATGAAAATATTTAAATAAAAAAACGTGGTATTATTGAATTTAAATGTATTATAAAAAAAATTAGTTCTATTAACAATTCTGTATAATTATATATTTTCTTATAAATCTATTTATATAAATTGGTTAATTAATGGTTTGGTTAATTAATCTCAATTTGTATAGTTAAATTAAGGCAATGATAATTTGACTAAATTACGAGCCATCGAATTGTACCCATATCCATTCATACATGAGAAGAGTGTGTGTAAAATGTGGTTTAATATAATTATAAATTCCTGTTAAAATTCAAAACCTATATTTGCTCACATTAAATGCAAATTTTATCTTTTGTAATTATTATACTAATGTAAATTTAATAGTTATTTTATCTACATCAGTACGTGATTAAATATTTCGTCGTTTTTTAACATATCATTTTTAATATATTGGTTTAATTAGCTTAATTGTTTTTAATTATTTTAATTGTTTCTTTGTCTCTTTCTTATTCAATATATTATTCGATAGAAATCTTAAAATATGTGTTTATAAATTCATTATATTAAAATTATATCGTAATACTAATACGATATTTGCAAAAATAGTACTTGGAAAGTTTATAAATTTATATTATAGATGTGCATAATATATGTGTGTAGATAGAAGGGATAAATTTTTTTTTAAATTTTCAAAACTTGCAAAAACTTACTACTTAAGAAGGAGATTGTATTTTTTTTTAATGCAATCTTCTTCTTAATAAACAATAATGCGTTTTAAAAAAAATGCAATCTCTTTCTTAATAAATAATAACAAACAATATGATATCATTCTTTGAAATAAATTGAAACAGATAAAAAAATTATATATTAATTAAAAATTGGAATAAAATATTAATCTACGTTTTTTATGTCTTGCAAGAAGAGAAAATGCATTAAAATTATCAAAAGGAAATTAATATAAAGTACTTCGATAAAAGTTACCTGTTGTCTGACGAATGTCGTTCACTGTTCGGAGTGTCTCTGATTACTACTGCACAGTAGTCCAAGAGTTGCCGGTTTACCCCGGCTTCATATCTGCATACCGTTTGATTGTCGCAGGAAACACACGCTTACCCCTCTACCAGAGAGTTAACTACCGTTCACAATTGCTCATCAGTTTTAACTGTAAGGCTTGTCCCGAATGATAGTTAAACAGTCACGTCAGCGAACAAAGACAATAACTGTGAGTAAAATAAAGGCAGTACGTTACTAAATTTTTATTGCTAATTTGCAGAAAAATGCAGATATATAGACATCCAGAATGATAATAAATTAATTCTATCATGTAAGATAATCAATTTTGCAAATTTTATTAGTTAAGAATCGCTCTCTTTTTTTCTTTGATAAAGTATCATGCATTAATTTCTATAAATCGTTAGTAATCGAAATAAATCTCGCAAATTAAGCCTTAAAGATTAAAGTATATAAGTAACTTTATTCTTTATTTATCTTCGTATTATTTTCTTCGACATTTTAACTTATAACTTATTGTTAATTAACTAGATAGATTAATTTAAGTTCCTTTATATGAGTATTAAAATTTTGTAAAATTCATTCGCAGTAAAGCAAATCTTTATAAATTTAAGTTGGCCATAAACTGTAAAATAGTTTCTCTTTTTCTTGTTTTGTTTCTTTCTCTCTCCTTTACTATTGCATATATTTTATATATTCAAAAAATGTCATCTTCTCTGTACATATTGTCATTTAATGGAAAGCAGAAAAGAAAAATCAATAAGAAAGAAGGGCAAAAAGAGGCCGATAAGAAAAAAACAGAACATTTTCATCGACATAATAGATTTCTGACAAAACTATGTCCGTGCATATACATCGGATATTGAATGCAGTGTGAATTCTACGTTATCCACTAGATTCACGTCTGCAAAAGATGACTCTGCTAGTTCGAGAGACGTAAAAGTTTGCTAATGTACAAGAAAAGATATAAGAACGATATATATCCAATCATATAAAAAATGATTTTTATGAATTATTTTGTTAATAAAGTCTTTTTCTATTTAATTATAAAAAGAATTCTAATTTTCTTTTTTCAAAACAATATTGATCCGTGTACATGTAAAATATAAAATATTAAATAGGAAAAGCTTGTTGGTCACGTACAGAGCAGAATCGCATTCGAAATTCAAGATTTTCGTGTTTTAAACATTTGTCAGGAAATTTCTCTGTCGCATGTACAACAACGGTTTCCCTTCAATGTAGTCACGTAAAATGTAGCATTAGATATTCTTGGACAAAGAAAACATAATATGGATTATACAAAGTGACATTGACGCGAATATTATTTCTTAATTCAAAATAATTATAATACACGATATCGATTACATATTTCTTTTAAATAACATTTATGCGTTATTAGCATGATCTTTTTGATAAAAAACATACCGATATGAAAGCTTTAACACAATGATATCGCATTTTAGAGAAAAAGAAATAGGTTTCTTCTTTATTTTACAAAATATTACAAGTCAATCGAATCTTTTAAAATAACGCATCATAATTTTCTATTCTATTTATAAAATGATAATTCAAGTAATAATAGAGTTTGATGAACGAAAGACTGTAAAAAAATTTTTACAGAATAAACGCATTAAATAATTGTGAATTGATTAAATATATAATCGCTAATTCTCTAGCAATATAACAAGCATCTCGTGACATAAATATATGAATACGAAAGAGTATCCCTGGGAAACAACATTTTACTCGTATACAGCTGATTCACAAAACAAATAAGATCACAATACGGGGGGCACATCATTATACAGCTACTAGACTGTAACTTTTAATTGGAACAAACGGACTTATTAAACATAACGTTGAGGGGTTAACAGGGTGGTGAAATCTTTGTGTAACGAGCCTCTTGTTGAAGACGAATAACCGCGGAAAGCGTCGTAATGTCTCGCGATATCTCGCAGTAATTAGGTGCCGCATGAAGGGATGAACGTGCTCGCGAAGAAGCGAACGTGCCGAGAACTATGAAATTCCTTTCCCTTTGGCATGTCGTTAAAAACTAGTTTTAATTAGAAATTGTACGCGTGTTTATTAGTTATATTAAAAACTAAACGGTATTATTTTTCATTTCTATCTTCATTAATAAAATGTTATAATACTGGAACGTTGAAATAAAAAAGACACATTTGTGTATTTCAAATTTCTTAAAGATTACATAACTTTGGGAGATATTATCATGGATAAGATTGTGGAGTGCCAAGTTGTTACATTATGTAAAATGGATAGAAGAAGAAAGAGATTCTTAGACACTTTAAAAGACGTAATATATTTTATTTAGACATTAATGATCCATAAAACATTGCTTATATATGGGGCTATAAACAAATAACTCTCGCCGCTACAATCTAGTCGTGATATAATAAATATTATCTTGTTCGTTTGCACAGAGAAAAAAACGCAGAAAGAGAAGCGCGTCAGGCTTCGAAAAAGCTCGACCAATTTTTTCCGGCTGTCGATAATGTCCATTTTTTCGTAATCGCATTTACATTTATGTGAATTGTACAGGATGTTTAAAAAAATGAGATGACTAGATCTCTGATATGCATAAACTACAGGGGCTGTCGATGGCAAGTCACTAATAAAGAAAGAGAATAAATTAATTAATAGTAAAATTATTCTTCTAAATATCTATTATTTTATTATTCCTCTAAAACAACATAACAATTTCTACTCGTATGTATATAACTGTTTTGATTTTCGTAGTTGTTCTTAAACTAAGAATTAAATAAGAACTAGAAGTAAAATCCGGACTAAATGTAATATATAATGAAAATTTTTTAATTCTCTCTCTCTCTCTCTCTCTCTCTCTCTCTCTACAAAAGGTTCAAAAATATATAGTTACATTTATAAATTAGTACATGTTTATAGAACTCATTTTATAGAACATCAGAAATTAAATCTATTAAAGTTTATATTCGGAATAAAGTAAATTTAAAAGAAAAGAAAAATGAATTGCTTAAGTTTCAAATATAAATCTAGACTATATGTTTTCTAAATATTTTTAATAATATAATAAAAATAAAAAGTTGTGAAATTAATATAACAACCGCTAAAATAAGATCTCCTTTCATTTTCTGTGTACTATATTTCCTTTTTAAAATAAGCAAATATTTAAATTGCGTACATAATTGGTAGACAAAAATTTAATTTAAATAAAAAAATAAAATTTTAAAACAAATAATAGCGAAGAAGTGGAATTATTCCTTTAATAATAATTGAAATTTAAATTTATATTATGTAATTTTTTTCAGTTATTAGTTCGCCATCGACACCATTGTTTATCGAAAGATATGTCCTTTCAGGAATAATTAAAGTGATAATCTATTTAATCTACATACACATGTATGTGCGACTGTGCTACGAAAAGAGGTAATAAAACATTTCTTTGTTCTCTTAACAAACAAATTTGCCAGTAATAAATTATTTATTTACTAGTTATTAATAATGCGATAATTATATCAAAGACATTTATTAGTCTTCATTAAGACCAAGATAATTACTGATTATTATCATCAAGATAATAACTGGTAAATAAATAAATGTATGTTTGCATGACTAAGATTTATGGCAAGTTAAACTCATTGATGTGATTCTGTTTAGCTAATATTTTGTCCACAAATATCTTCATCTTCAACATTTTTGCCATCAAAATGACAAAAAGCACTTGATTTCATATTATTGAGAATAATAATAAACTTATATATTATATAGAGAATTTTTTAAATATATAAAAAATTATTTCATACACAAGAAAACATTTTTGTAATTTACAATTCCGTTAGATTTAAGATTTTCTTACTTGTTAATAAATTCCAAATGTTAAAAGCTAGACAAATAAAATTAAAAATTCATAAATCTCAAAATTGAAAATTTAAATAATTTAATTTTAAAATAAACAAATGCACTTATAAAATTTCAAGGGATTTTAAATTATATAGTCTCAAAATTTAATGAGATTTAAAATTTTAAGAAATTTAAATATATATAAAATATTTGAAAAATTTCATATTATTAAAAATTTCTTAAAAAGGTTAATATAATTTCGATCAATACAACAGTTTAAAAAATTACATTGATTCATTAAATGATGTCAAAAATTTATCTATACAAACCAATTAAATTTTATATTAATCAACATTATTATACAAATAATCTTGAAGTAATTTAAGTCAATCTGAACTTATAAAACATTTTGCTTTTTAATTTATCCTTAATGAAATTTTGAAACAAAATTACAAATAATACGAAAAAGTCCAGAATAAAACTGATTTTTTTTTCTTGGGAAAATGATCGATATTCGATCAGCCGGCATAGACCACGGGATCTAGCGATCCTGAATAATTTATTAGGCAATTAAGCTATATACAAACAGGTGCGTAATCCTTAAAGGAGATCGATATGTCTCGTTGGTTGGCCGGGGAAGACCGTTCCGAATATTCTTTGAATCTTCTCTTTTAATTATTGTTATTTTTCGTTTATTCTTTTGCCGATAATGAACCATTGGTCAAGGCCATTACCGTTCCAGAAGTTGTTCTCGAGCTCGTATCAGAATTCAGTTCCAAAGAAGAGTCCTGTAACATCAGGGAAAATAATTTTATTAATTATCATTATCATGAGAATTATAAGAAAGAGATTAGTAAAAGTCCTAGCATTTCTGAATTAGAGGATTTTATCACCGATATTCTTTTATTATCTAAACTTGAAAAATGTAAAGTTTACATATTGAAAAATTCAAAACTGACAGTCACTATTCATCAGCGATCCTTAGTAAAAATTGACGATATGATTCATCGCGCGGAAAGAGAAAGTATCGCAACGACATTTCTGTCACCGTCGTTGTCCTGGTTGTCGTTGGCGCCAACAATTTACGACTCTTGTTAATATGCACCCGAGAAGAACGATTTTCTATTGTGGATGACTGCTTTTAACTGCTGTATGACGAAAACGACGTCTGTCATTAGAGCTGTCATACTGAATCCATTACGATCTTTATGCTCTTTACGATTCTCATGGCAAGACACATGCTCTCAGAGACTATGTACCATCATGTTATTTCCGATTGTGCATCATGCCGAGAATCTTTTCATCAATAGGAAAAAAATTGTGTCTCTTCCTCATATATATATTTCTCATTGTTTTAATTATAAATATTTCTCCTTATTTTTATTGTAATATAATAAAATATTTTAAGACAATAAAATAAACAAGTGTTATTTAGAAATAAAAATACGAAATTTTTGAAGCTCATAGTTATAGTTTATAGTTTAATCAATTTTTAAGTAATTTCCGCGAAAAAAGACAGTCGTCCTTTTTATTTAATTTTTAGTATTTATACTTGAAGATATCTCTGCTGATTCTCGTGAAATTGTTACATATAAAATATTATAAATGTCGAATAAAAAAATAAAATTAATAACTTACAATGCTTAAAGTATGCATGATGCATGCCTGCGTGGTATTCTCGACCTGGATCAATTCGTCACAGTCCTCATGATCCAACCCGTTTACGTCAGATCGAATCTTGATTGGCGACAGAGCCGCTTCGTTGTCCGTTGACTTGCCACTGTCTGGGGACGGTATTAACTCATGTCCATCAAGTTCCTCCTCCTCCGCGCGTTCTTCGCAATCCGTAGCCTTGATTTCCTGTTATAGATTCCGTAGATCAATACCGTTACACGAGATTATCATAGACGAGAGACGAACTGATGATTAACGAACATATCTTTCGATCATTCGTCCTTGTGAAAGAATGTGTGTAGTCATGACAAAAAATTATAATGTGTGCTGCTGAGGAGTTGTTAATTAATATGTGCCATACTATATAATACTAGGAATTTTATCCTTCAAAAGTTTCCCATGTTTCATTCAAAATTAGTTTGATTAAATTTACTATCTTATTATGTATATTTTAAATAATGATGTTTGCTTGAGAGACATGACTAGCAACAAATATATTTAAATTAGAGATGTCAATTAATGAGATCATTCTGTTATAATTTTGCTTTCTATTTTTTTTTCTACATAATGCACATTTTTTATTTTAATATTTTTTGATAACATAATATTAATATTGTTGTATATATAAGAAAAATTGCTAGATAAAGCCTTTTGTTCCATTATTGTACGTATATAAGAATATACAATAAATCGCGGAAACAAATAATTTCTGCGATACTTAACATGAAAAGTACAATTTTAGATTTTGTTGTCTGTCGATGGGAAAAACTGTTAAGGGCGATGGTGACGAGTGGCGGGAAAATGCCATCACCCGAGGGGGCGCGGAAAAATATTACTTCGTCATATGTTTCTCTGTCGATACGTCAACCCCAGAGTTAGCCTCGATGGAATCGACGTGTTTCGCGTCGGTCACTGGGGTTGCTTTTGCCGAGTGCAAGCGCACCTCCCTTACTTCGCTTCTGTACAACTTCGTGGAAATCGTGCACGTCACGCGTTGTCGGGAAGATTGTCTGCGCCGTCGTCCACGGATATATCTCGTGTCTCAGCCGTCGCGAAGCATCGCGATGCCTCTTTGTTGCCTCCTCGGATCTTGTCGTGACGACACACCGATAAATGTGACGGAAGACTACGTGTCGTTTTGCAGAAAGAAGAGGAAACGAGACAGAGGATGAGGGAGAGAAAGATGGTGTTGATGTGAAAAATAAGTCAAATGGCAAAATCGTTGTTTCTGTAGCTGAGCTTTAACTCGCATTTATATTCGTTATTCGTTATGTACCTGCAGACTCGCATTAGTCCAGACAAATTAAATTATGATTAAGAAAATAGCAGGAATAATTTCGAGATATTATAAAATTTAAACATTCTCTCTCTCTCTCGCGCGAATGTAAATGAAACATATATACTGAAAGTCTTGAAATACTATCGGTGTAAACTCTATCGATTATAGTTGAGAGAGATACATAATTCACAAAATATATGCGTTGCATCTCTTTCTTAAGATATGCAGTAAGAATGCAAACATTTCGTACATAAAAAAAAATAAATTTTGGAACACGATTCACTCAAGAAAGTTACATAATCGATAACAATAACAGTCATCGGTATCAATACTGGTCGTAAATAATGTACTCATTAGTTGATAACAAAACACATATTATAATTAATGAAAGTGAGAGAATGTTACTTATTTAAACAAATCGGCCATCGCATCGAGCTGAATAATGTATCCGCGAGAACGCAAATATTTCCGTTAATTCCACGTTTTAATTACTCGAAAAATGCGCGCGCAGCAGTAAAACAATTTCAAATATTCGTTAATTAGTTACTAACCAATAGATTAAATATAATCTGCGGGCAAGGAATCTTTTGAGAGTTGATATATTGTAATATATAATCCCGTTGATGTTGTGTATATATATTGCAATATTGCATTAAATCAATACAATTATATTGTCGAAATTGTCATTAAAATTATCAAATACAATAGTCTATATAATCACGCACAAACAATAGAAATAAAATAAACATACATTTTTAGTCGTATACAAAATTTCTTTTGTTACGGACATCGTTTTAAGGGTGAACTCTCCTACTTGTTCGTTCCATCCTTCGCAATGCCCGAGAGGCGGAAACTATTAATTCTTCAGTTCAGGTTGCGCGATTTTGTAAAATATTGCTGCATGACGTCGGCGTAAATAATAAATCATAGATAGGGAGTATAAGAGAGAGATAAGAGAACTAACCTGGAAATCCTGGGGGGAAGGCGACGACTCCTTCGGTTGGTCAAGACTAGGACTCCGCGACGGGCTCGGTGCTCTTGTGCCCAGCTCGTAAATGTTGATCATGTGGGCTGCCTGGGCATGAACCATCAATTCCCAAGCACTTGGAAAAGATAACTTGCAGAGGACGCAGAGCAACGCCGTCGTTGAATCTCCTGTTTGTGTGTAAGTGAAACGTTAATAAATAAGTTAGAAAAATACGGTTGATATTTTTCACACAGTGAACTAGAACGAGATCAAAATGAGACAAAATTCAAAAAGTGAGTTTCATGTCATGCACAACGAATAAATTTTAAATTACTCGGTAGATTTTTAGACAGAGTCTGGAATGAGTTATATAAAATTAATATTCCTGCGTTGAGGCTGTCAATTTAAGCTATTGTTATTTGAAAGATTGCGGCAAATTTCTCGAAATTCAATTTCGAGAAACACATTCATGATTTATTTTTAACTAAATTTGTCCCATTTTTAGTCAATTTTTAGTTCTTTATGCAATAACGTGATTCGAGCCGCCATAAGGAAAGGTAAGTTTGCGCAATGTAACACAATTACTTTAATATAATTTAATATAATTAAAGTATTTGAAATTGTTTGCAACAATGATAATAATATAAATAAAACACAACATTTAAGTCACGTATTGAACGTCACGTATGATGAATACACTAAACAATACGCGATATAAAAGATTATAAGGTAAATTTAATTGAATATGAAAAAAGAAATTTAATTAATTACGTCGGTTAAATCGAGATTTAATAAATAAATAATCTATATGATCTACTTCTATCTTGATTCAAATAAAATATGAGTTTTGAATCAAATTAGTTCAGCAATCTTTCACAAAAATCTTTATAAAAAGTTGCCGATTGTTAATTATGATAGACGAAAATATAAGTGGCCGATTAAAATCGACGGTAGATAATTATACTAATTCTGGATCTTCCGGTGGGATTCGGAGCGCGTTTACGTACCGGAAGGAGGCGCCTCGAAGTTTATTTCGAGTACATACTTGGGGCGGCTCCGTTGAAGGTGTGACATTTACATGTGAACCGCAGCTTGCAGTAGTTCCGCTTGTGCTCCAACAGCTCCCCGAGTTCCGTGAACATCTCCCTGCAGTTGCCGCAGATCAGTATATCTGGATTGCCTACGACATACCTTCAATTAAACTCAACCTTCATTGCTCGACGAGGCTTTGGGATTCCGCGTTACAAGAAGATAAATTATAAACTACTCAAACAATCGTTATATCTCCTTTAATTACATACTTTAATTACATACTTTAATTGCATTCATCAACAAAGTAAGAGACAAATAAAAAAATTGCATTATATTCTGTTAATTTTATATTTAATCTTTTATCAGATCAAAGAGAGCTATTAAATTGTTCCGTGAGAAAATTCTTCTCATTGTTAAAACTAATAATCATAATGCGCGATTATTTGAACACAATAGGTTCGATTTTAAAACATTTAATACGGAAGTGAAAAACTTTATTGGCACTGTACACGTCGTAGACAATAAAGACGCTTATTGCTTTGAACGCTGCACTTACTATACACTTTCAATTGATTCAAGTCGGGTATTGTGCCAGTGTTTGCCGTCAATTGTTGTTTCTGTAGCTTCGGATGCTGTGCTCGTGTCGGTGGCATCAAACGTGGCCGTTTCAACGGTGGTGCCAAACGCGGTGGAAACGCGGTAGACGCATAATAACTGCAAATAGAAGAATGTTTTGAAAAGTAGACTATTATATATAATATATATATATAATCAGATTAGTACGTACACAAAATACATATCCACATACATATATACACATATTTATTGTGTAGGATTTTATAATTTTTTGTTGCTATTCAGGGAGTTTAATATTTTTCTATTATGAAATGTGTATGCTTTAAATATTAAATTTATTTATTTATTTTTATTCTATTTAACGTTTCACACTTAAATAAATATCTGCAATTCTACATCAATAACTTAAGAAAATATATAACTATAAAATATTAAATTATTTTATAAATGAAAGCATTTTCTTAAGTATATTTGAAATAAATGTATAAACGAGCGATTTTACAAAATCACAAAATTTTGCGACAAGAATTTTTTTCAAAGACTTTTCTTTTACAGTATAAAACACACCGCAATAGTATTGTATGCAATTTTATTATTTTAATTTAAAGAAACATTTTTTGTAACATGTTAGTTCGTGTTTTATTTAATAAAAAAATATATTTTTCAATATAATATTTAATAAATAAAATACATTTTTTGAAGATTTATATAACTTAATTTTGTTTAGATTTATATAAAAAAATTTGTATTAATAAAATTTTAATTCATCAGTATCATTATTCATACTTTATATTATTAAAATTGTGATAAAAGGAAAACGTGAAAATAAAAATTTGATGATATTTTATTGATTGTTGTGTATATTATAATATTAATTCTTTTAAATAATGAAAGTTAAGGATAAACCATAACTATAGATAGAAATATAAAAGTATTAGAGTATAATCAAAAGTATAATATTTAAATATTATTTTAATAACAAATTATGATACAATCATTTGTTTGTCATCTGTTATTTTCAATATTTCAATTAGCACCATTGTTATTTATCATTGTCGTTGTCAAGTTTTGCAAGAAAATCGTCAGAATCAAAAATGTTGGCTTTAAGAAAGCTAATGTGATTGTTCCTTTAAAACTTCGAAAGTGAAGGCGTACGGTAAAATAAATTAGGTTTGAATAATTCAAGATGTATCTAGAGAAAGAGAGAAAGAGAGAAAGAATAATGCGGTTCAAGCAAATTAAAATCAAATTAGCTCTTAAGATTTCTCGTTTGAAGGTATCACTTTGTCAAGCTGATAAATGTCTATTGTATATTTGGATAAAAATATCGAGAAAAATTAATATCATAATCAAAATGTATTATATTATTTAATCTCTTAAAAATTGTTTATAGAAAATTTTGATAAGAACCGATTTTTTCCGAAGAATAAGATAATAATTATTTCATTATTACAATATTGATTCATAATCCATTATTATTAATTACTGAATATATTAACGAATGCATATTATACATCTAAATATGAATACATCTAAAATATGAATACGATGGATCATAATACGCAATTAAATTTTGCTCGAGCGGATTTCACTTTATGACCTCACAACGTGAAACGCACGCGTGTGATTTTACGCGATGTCAGAACTGCCGCTTGCCATAAATACCGGCAATTTGCAAGCTTGCAAATTGCCTCTGCTCCTTTTTATTACGAAGCGAACGGCATTTCTGCGCAGTTTTGATTGGATTCACAACGCCCGGAATATTTTGCGTTTTGAAATTTCAAAAATCCTGTGAAGTTCCCTTTTTGGTGAGCAAATTATATTTTTATAAAACAGAAACTTTTTAGAGGAGTTTAAATTCTTTATAGTTGCGAATTAAAAAAAAACTCATCATATCTTTTTGTTTGTAGATTATATATTCATTTTTATCTGTCTATATATCCATCACGCGTTTACTTTCTTCGTTTAGTTTACTTTCTCTTCGTTCTTTTTGGATCGATCATTTCTTTGATGTATATATTTAATCTTTAAATATCAAATATATGTTGTGTCAATATAAAATACATCGCTCACTCAATCTGACATATACAATTCATACAATACTTGCCAGATATATCTTATACTTTCAAAAATATATAATATATTAAGAAATGATCCATTTATAAAGATAATTTAATTTTAATATTAAAATATTGAGACTGTTTGATATATATGAGTAAAAAATTTATAAACTTAAGACCATAACTATAAGACCATAAATAAATATAAATATAAATACAAATATAAATAAAATGTATAATATTTTAAATTTTAATTTTGTTCATTTATAATGCATTTGTTATGCAAGAGTTGCAATAGCGTTTCAGTATTAAATACGCAATACAAGTACGAATAAAAGTTGAACGTTGTCTATGCGTTTACACGCCTTATTCACTAAAATCAAATTTATACCATATATGCATAGCAATTCAGTCATGTCGCAACAATGCGCAGAAAAGTAATCAATATCTAGTCCTCCATTATTGTATCGGCTACGCAGCATCACAACGCCTCGCACACAAACAACAGTAAAGTCTGAATCCTGACAATAAAAGTATCATGTTACTGACACATGCCAATGTTTATGTCGTTGTTGTCGAATACTGCCGATTTGTATTTATTGGAAAATTTTAACATTTGATTTTCTGGTGGAAATATTGAAAAATTACAAAAATGATATCTTACAAATTAAATCCTAAAAGTAAAAATACGATACACTTCTTACGATACACTAATCTGATACATTGTTAATAATGTATATTATTATTACAATACAATAATTTATATTATTTCGAGATATATTTTTCTATGCATATATATTGTTACATGTTATATTATGCATTTTTTATTCTAAATTTTACGTTTCTATATCAGATTCATATATCTTTTAGATTTTAATGGGCATTTTGTTGGACTTTGTTATTTATATTTTTGTTGGACTTTGGTATTTATATTTTATAAAATTTATTCGCTTTCTTTTTAAAGAGAAATAAATAATTGACAAATATAGTTTGTTTTTACTTGTCATCAAAAAAAAAACGAGAGTGTTACTTAAGGATTAGACTGACGAATGTGTGTGAATTCGTGTTTCTTTGGCGTTGTTAAAAGTTATTTTAAGACGAGTTTCGTTCTATTTCACTTTCGAAGTCGCGAATAATAGCCGACGGTCGCGACAGGCGAAAAGGGATGATCGGAAAGAAGCAGAAAAAGACCGAAAGAACATCATCTTCGACGTTGTTCGATCCAACGTTCTTCGCTAGTGTTTCAACAGTTTGAACTCTCCTCCTGAAGTACCATCCAATTATCAACCAAGTCAGCTTTTGTTTTCACTCGATTCTTATAATTTTTTTTTCGATCTTCTTTAAAAATTATATTTTTAAATATTAATAACAATATTTGTGAACACATTTTTTCAAAAAAAGAGCAAGAGAGAGGCAGAAAGAGAGAGAGAGAGAAAGAGAGAAAGAGAGAAAGAGAGAGAGAGAATCAGTCATTACATACAATAAATATAATTTGTACGAAATTAATGAATTTATAATAAGAAAAGTGACTTTTTTTGCTCACACACACACACACACACACACAAGAATCTCTTTTAGAATCGCTTATATATAAATAAATTGAATATTTAATTTTAACTTTTACTTTTTTTATAATTTGAAAAATAGGTTTTAAAGTCTTAAATAATTTTCTTGCAACCTTTAAATCAGATAAATATCTAATGAATAATAGTATTGACAAGCGAATCTAGGTCATTCGCGTATTAAAGTCTAGTTGCATTAATATTACAGTCGGATATCTGTCCGTTTTCTATAAATAGGGCTTCTAATTGTCGTAATAGACGTGAATAGGTTAAACACATTATAAATCTATCTTATATAATTTCTGTTACATCTTTTAATAAAATTAAAAAAATTAATTTTATCTAATTGAATTATAATATCTCATGAATTTAAACATACAAAAATTTTTACAAAAGAGATATCCAAAAAAGATATGTATATATACACAAACGTTCAATCTCTTTATACAAGGTGGCTCGAATTTAAACTTTAGGAGTGTGTGAAGAATCAATAAACTAAGAAAAAAGTCTTTTAGAAATTTGCTCGTTACTTTCTTTTAAAAAAATTAAAAAAAAAGCTTTTCTTTTTTCCAGTTATTTATTACTCTATTTTTTACTTATTTACATTTATTTTTTCATATTTATTTCCTTGAGGTATCGTTCAAAATATATAAATATATGAAAATAAACAATTTAAATAAACAGAATGTAATAACCTCGTGTTATCATATTTATTTATAAATCTCTAATTCTATTTAAAAAATATTTTAACTCACTTTCTTTTCTTAATTTTATGCTCTACTATTTTTATTTCATTATTGTATTATCTCATTACTGGTCTACTATTTTTATCTCATCATTGTATTATCTCATTACTATTTTTCGATAAATCTAATTTTAGTGTTGTTTTACATTTTGGTAAAAACTTCTTTATTTTTGGGGGAGAATTTTCACCAAAACAAAATAAATTTCTAAAGAGTTTTTTTTTCAGTTTATCGATTCCCCACATGCTCGCAAAGCTTCGACATTTAGATTCCGGACATCCTATATAACATTTTATATTTTAGATTCTCCGCACTGTTTAATCGAGCGCGCTCAATCTCGAGCGGGACGATGTGGCCGTCGAAAAACGCCGATGCCAGTCGTCCACATCGTCGCGTCTCTACTTTATACGCGGCTCTCGGATATGCATGTATTCAGATTAGACAACGCGGAGGGAGAATTTGTCGGATAAATTCAGCCGGGGGTAGCGGCCGGGAGCTGGCTCGCTCCCTCTAACACACTGGATTTCATTAAAATTCATTCGGCGCGGCAAGCTGTCACACGCGCCACGCGGATGTACAGACGAACGAGTAAGCTAATAGGCTTACCGTGTTACTACAAAAGGCTCCGAGTCCCTTCTCTCATACGAGCGGATTGTACTGTGACCATACAAATTAAATATAAATAATGTATATGCGACGTGTGTAAAATGAATTAGATGACGCATGTCTGTTTGTTTGTCATAAACACTTACATATGCATTACGTATAGTGAA